CCATTCTATCACCCCTGGGCGTCACGCATTTGGCATCACGCATAAGTGGACTATGCGTCAACTGGATGTCCACAACGCATTTTTGAATGGGCACATTGACGAAGACATTTATATGCGCCAACCGCCCGGCTACACAAACTGAAATTTTCCTGAACATGTTTGTAAGCTACAGCGGTCTTTGTATGGCCTTAAGCAGGCCCCTCGTGCGTGGTTTAAAAGACTACACAATTTTCTCTTAAAGGTGGGATTTCTTCCGTCCAAAACGGATGTTTCCTTGTTTATTTTTTACTCTGGACAGGTCCGGGCATATGTGTTAGTCTACGTGGATGACATCCTTCTACTAGGCAATAACTCAGATATGGTCCAAACTGTCATGACCCAGCTGTCATCTACTTTTCACATTCGTGATTTGGGGCGGCCTCGGTTCATTTTAGGGATTGAGGCGACTTACAGCAATGATGGCCTGATGCTTTCCCAACAAAGGTACATGACCGAACTCTTGCGCAAAGCCGGCATGGAATCTTGAAAACCGCTGTCAACTCCAATGGCTCTAGCTACTTCGACTCCTACTGCGGGGTCCCCACACCTCGATGATTCGACCCCATACAGACGCCTGGTTGGGTCCCTGATGTATCTACTAATCACTCGTCCGGATCTAACTTTTTCTGTGAATCGACTGTGTCAATTCATGCATGCACCGCCACAGGACAATTGGGCGTCACTCAAACGGGTGTTGCGCTATGTGCAAGGCACGCAGAGTCTGGGACTTCGTCTCACACAGTCGTCTTCTCCGGTTGTGCATGCCTTTTCTGAATCAGATTGGGCGGGATGTTCTCTGGATCGAAAATCCACCGCTGGCTACGTCATGTTTCTAGGCCCGAATCTTGTCTCTTGGACGTCTAGGAAGCAACGGACTGTAGCACGGTCTTCTACCGAAGCCGAGTACAAGGCTCTTGCCGACGTTGCTGTCGAAGTCACATGGGTCCAGTCCTTGCTACGCGAACTTGGTTTGATTTCCCGACTTTTCCGGACCTCTGGTGCGACAACTTAGGTGCAACATACCTGTGTGCTAATCCGGTGTTTCATGCCCGGACAAAGCACGTTGAAGTCGATTATCACTTCGTTCGGGATAAAGTGACAACTGGAGCTCTAAAAGTGAACTTCGTCTCAACCAATTACCAGCTCGCCGACATCTTTACCAAACCTCTCTCCTCAGCTCGCTTTGGTGATCGACGGTGCAAGCTTGGCGTGGTCCCGTATCCCGCTTCAGCTTGAGGGGGAGAATTAGGCAGTTAGTTTTGGTAAGACTTTTATGTGTAGTTAGAGACTAATAAGGAGTGGTTATCTATTTCCTTGTTAACCACTTGTGTATAAATAGCGTTGTATTCTCTTGCTCTTAAATCATCAATAAATTATAAACTTCATATATATATATATATATATATATATATATATATATATATATATATATATATATATATATATATATATATATATATATATATATATATTATTCTGATCACTATATTATTCAAATATGATAATTTAAAAGTATCATCACTATAAGGAATTGCAAAATATAATTTTAACTAATTTTTTAAATTTTGTACTTAACAATATTTTAATATTGGGCATAGATTTTCGCGCATCGCACGTACAAAATGCTAGTGTATATATATATATATATATATATATATATATATATATATATATATATATATATATATATATATATATACATGTATATATATATACATGTATATATATATATACATGTATATATATATATATACATATATATATATATATACATGTATATATATATATACATGTATATATATATATACATGTATATATATATATACATATATATATATATATATACATATATATATATATATATATATATATATATATATATATATATATATATATAGAATTACATTCAGATACAATTTTTCAAAAAAAAAAAAAAACATTCAGATACAAGCAACCCTTAAAATACAAACGTGTGGATTAATTGAGATCGTTAGATTTTGAGGTTGGATGGATAAGATTGATTTAATTAGTTATGGAGAATTTAATTACCGTGCGCATGTTTTTATGTTTAGGGGGGTAATTTTGGGTATTTACTTTTGATGTAATCGTATCATATTCTAATTCTTCAATCACGAGCCTTGTTTTAGTGTTTATCGCGATCTCTCTCTCTCTGTTTAGCGCTGGCCGAACAAATCTTCTACGCCGGTCGATTCCCTTTCTTCATCAGCATCGGATGATGATAGGAGGTGGGGACCGCAGTGGAGGCAAGCGCGGGGACCACCAACTCGGGATGTAGGTCGAGGTAATTTTTTTCCCTTTTTGTTATTTTCTAATTTTTACCGTTTGTTATTATCTTTTTGTGTTGCGTGGCCGATTGTTTTGGCGGGGGGAGGGGGGTAATGCATGTGTGTTTCCATCGGGGGATGGTGGTTCCTGGTTCGGACGGCGGGATTGGGGGTGGGTTTATTGGATTTAGGGTTTTTTTTTTTCCAATTTTTTTGTACTGGTGCAGTACATTTTTGTTAAATGTTGGGTGGTCTACGTCGATGTGAGATGAGTGTGGGTACAAGGGGCGCGATGGGAGGGGGTGTGGTGGCGGGTGTCTGCGGTGGTGGCGATGCGACGTTGGGAGATTGTTTTCGGGGTCGGGAACTGCCGTTGGGAGTGATAGGGGCGGGGGGTGGTTTCTGGTCGACGTTAGGAGGGGATTGCTTCTGGCCGTGTTCTTCATTTAATTTTTTTTTTCAAAGTCCGTTTTAATTTCATTTTGGGTAATGCTTTTGGGTGCTTCCCTATCTATTTTTGTTGTTGAAATTGATCATGTCTATTTGATATAATGTACTGGTTGTGTGCACTCTTATGTGGACATCATAAGACATAAATCCGAGGAGAGAGTTTATGGGATTGTACAGCTGGTTAATCATAAAGATCTACTTATTTGTTTGTTTTTTTTTTTTTGTTTTAAATTATAAATTGTTGATTTGCATTTGTATTTTGTGTAAAAACCATCCAGAACTAGTTATTTTTTGTTGACGAGTCACCTTTTTCATTGATAAGCAGAAAGGTGAGCTTCCACCGGGCAGAACACCCGTTGCTAGAACGAGCTCGCTGCAGTTTCAAGATGCCGAAATTGAGAAAGAACTGAATGAATTACGGAGGAGGGCCAACGATCTATAGGGATCACGGGTGATCTTTAATCATTTTTCAGACTCTTACACTGCAAGAGATAGTTTAGGGAAAAGCATAAGCAAAATGTTTCCTGCCTCGTATAGTCAAATTATAATCTTATTGTTTTCTTTTTTGACTTTGTATATGGATACAAGTGCAGCCTGGAAGTCTTTAAGGGTTATTGTAGTGTTGTAATTTGTTAATGAAATGGATCAGCTTCACCTAGAATCAGATAATTCAAACTTGGCAGTGGTGAGGTTTTGTTTGACCCTCTTCTTACATTTTCTGCAACTTTGGTTATGCGGGAATGCACCCACGTATTCACACCAGGTCCCAACAAATATATTTTAGGCACTCTGGATTGTTGCTTCATTCATAACAAATTTATGCTTTTAAAATCTCCGTGTTTATTTAGTGCTGAATGTGGGGGTGTGCTATAGTAGTTACTACCGTTACAACCATGTCACGCTTTTGTGTGCACGTATGCCATTAGCAATATTAATAAATACTATTATCATCATCTCTTATTCCTTGCGCACCCCGTGTGCACGGACGCCATTATCTGTGTGCATGCGCATCCCATAACTTAATACACACATTATTAAATTTATGACATTTCAAGCTCGTACAATTCTGCCAACATTATCCAATGGTCTTGCTTAGATCGCTACTAATAATTGAGCCATCCGAAATGTCATGCGTGCACACAAGTTGTGTCTTCCGTGCCTGTGTGCACAAGTACACATTTCTATGTTCACTGCAGTTCCATTACTGTACATCCTGCAGACTAAATTTCAAACCACCAACTATAGCCTTCAATTTATTCAATTGTGCCTTCCGTACCTGTGTGCACAAGTACACATTTTTGTGTACACTGCAGTCCCATTATTGTACATCCTGCAGACTAAATTTCAATCCACCAAATGTAGCCTTCAATTTATTCAATTATGAGTCAGTTGAATAAACAAACAATTTGCAGTCTATTTTCTATACATGCTAAATACTTGTAAAACAGTTTTCTTTATTGCTTTTAAAAAACGGTAGTCTAGTTTTCTGATGGTGCTCTTTTTTCTAGACAATTGCGGTTTTCATGGTGGCCAACATCGTCGCATGTATGACACTTCTTTCTCACTTTATTCTTCTTCTCGGTTGATTTTTCTTTGTTGCTTTTGAGTCTCTTTCCACTATCTTTGTTCTTCGCAACTGTTGGTGCTTTTATGTGTATTTCTCCGGGTGCAATTGCTCCGAGTAGTGATTCAATCATAGATTGGTTGTTGGCATTTTGTTGGGTTTGTTGTCTGGCTCTTTGTAACTCTCCTTTAATTGCTGCAATGTTGACAAAATTTGTTCTATCTTATCTGGTCATCCATTTTTTTACCCTGTTAACCACATCAACATTATTACGTCAACATTAAATTCCAGGACGTCAGTCCATGCACCTACAATTCGTAGTAATCCAAAAATTAAAAATACAACATACTCGTGCACAGAAGTTTGTTCTGGTGCGCACATAGTTATCCCTAGTCACACCTATGTGCACAGACACCCATATGTGTGTGCACAGTTAGTATACTAATATTATGTACTCTCCAGTACACAACCTATTGTCTCGATCGGATTAGGCTTCTAAATTAATCATATTCATTAGTTCAAAGCTCAAAAGGACGCATAACATAAAAATCCAAAGTTTTCCCCCTAACATTGCAATTACAATCCGTATGCATTAATCATACTTTGTAGAATTACGCTCAGTAGCCATTCTATAAAGGTGAAAATCAGTTGGTGTTCATTACCTGAGTTGGGTGTCTCCATGTCAACAGTAGTCACTTCCATCTCTTCTCGCCTCGTCGCTTTGTTCGAATCCCGTCTATGCAAGGGCTGGGCGATTACAAGTACGCAGACAATTCCTACCGTAATTATACTTCATCAATTATGGTGTAATATCCATAAAAATAATAATTCATAATTAGATTCGTATTGTAATCCCATAATTACCCTTTTTTATAGTAACACAGATTCTTTAATTACTTGCTTTCCTTTAATCTGATCCGTCAATCTACTCTAATCCAATGGTCCAAATTTGTCCACACGTTTATATTTTAAGGGTGTTTGCATGTGAATGCAACCCTATATATATATATATATATATATATATATATATATATATATATATATATATATATATATATATATATATATATATATATATATATGGGGGTTTCTTGTGCGGTTATTTGCTCAGGTGCGGACGTGCGGTTTAATATGAGCCGTTGTTCAACTCTAGATAAACGGCTCAAATCAACGAAAAAAAAAAAAAAAAGGATCCTTTGGAGGGAACCAAGCAACTTAATCTTAAGCATGAAAATGGCGCACCTTAAGTAAAACCTCGCACTTTAAGTACACAAACCACGCACCTTAAGAACACAAACCACACACCAAAGATTTTAAAATGGAGCACCTTAAGTTTTAACAACTTACGCACCTGAAGCATAGAAATCACACAGCTTAAGAATGAAAATAACGCACCTTAAAAAGGAAAACCATGCACCTTAAGCTTCAGGTTGACGCACCTTAAGTTTCAACAACTACTAACATTAAGCACACAAATACGCACCACATTAAGCACACAAACACGCACACTACAAGAAAAATGCACATAGACAACGGTTAATAACCATTGTCATAGGGGTATAATTTGTATTGTTGAAGCCGGTGTTGTTGTAAGTCCCGCGCATAGACAACGATTTTTTAACCGTTGTCTTTTCTAGAAACGACAACGGTTTTTTAACCGTTGTCTATTAAGTGTTGTTGAAACCAGTGTTGTTAAAAGTCACGCACATAGACAACGGTTTTAAACTGTTATCTTTTCTAGAAACGACAACGGTTTTTTAACCGTTGTCTATCTGTTGTTGTCGAAACCGGTGTTGTTAAAAGTCACGCACATAGACAACGGTTTTAAACCGTTGTCTTTTCTATTAACGGCAACAGTTTTTTAACCGTTGTCTATTTACTGTTGTTGAAACCGGTGTTGTAAAAAGTCACGAAAATAGACAACGGTTTTTAACCATTGTCTTTTATAGAAAAGACAACGGTTTTTTAACCGTTGTCTATTGTGTGTTGTTGAAACCGGTGTTGTTAAAAGTCACGCACATAGACAACGGTTTTAAACCGTTGTCGTTTCTTTTAAAGACAATGGTTTTTGACCCGTTATCTATTCAATGTTGTTGAAACCGGTGTTGTTAAAAGTCACGCACATAGACAATGGTTTTTAACCGTTGTCTTTTCTCTAAAACACAATGGTTTTTATCCGTTGTCTTTTCTTTGAAAGACAACAGTTATAAACTATTGTCTATTGTGTGTTGTTGAAACCGTTGTTGTTAGAAGTCATGCTCATAAACTGTTGCCTTTTGTAGAAAAGACAACAGTTTTAAATTGTTGTCTGTTGTAAAATAGACAATGGTTTTTAACCGTTGTCTCAACGGTTTTGGCCGGGTATATTCATGGTTTTATAGGGACCGGGTCCATCATAAACCAGGCGATATAGATATAGAATAGGGTAAGAAAATATTAGTTTTATTACCTGGGTCGCTAGGCCCAAAATAGTAACAGGTATATAGGTACAGAACGAGGGTTAGAAAATAATAACCTTATTATCCGGGGCGCTAGGCCTAAAATAGTACTTATAAAGTCCCAGGTACATGCCCACGCTGGTGGCCCAAATATAAAGATCCAAATACAAAGATCACGGCCCAATGAATGAGCTACAGCTAATTATGCTAGCGCTACTAATAGGAATTGAACCCCAAGCGACTAGGTTGAGGTCGGGTATAGACTAGAGATGACTAGACTAGGGTGCCTGTAGGCCGGGTATGTTCATGGTTTTATAGGGACCGGGTCCACCATAAACCGGACGATATAGATATAGAAAAGGGTAAGAAAATATTAGCTTTATTACCCGGGTCGCTAGACCCAAAATTGTAACACCCCATGTTACGACCCCTAAAACCAATTAATCATTTAATCATTTATCCGAAAGAAAGAATTAAATTCCAGTAATTAATTAGGAAAAAGGCCCACCATAGTCCATGGGCCCTTATCCCTAAAACCAATCCCCTAGTCCTATAAGGAATAGAATTAGCAAGCCCATAGTATTTGGACCCTAATTGGGACTCTTAGGTATATAAATATGGGGGGCATAGGAGGCACCTAGAACCCACACCACAATAATCTCTCACCACACAAGAAGTTCTAAGAATTTCCCTAGGAGAAATCAAGAAGGAAGGAATCTTAAAGAAAGACCCTTCATAGCTAAGGAAATTAATTAAGGCTAAGAGGTAACCCATGTCTCAACAAAACCTATTTTCCTTGCTATGATCTCCTTCTTTGGCTCCCTCTATATACTTGTGTCTTGATGAATTTCTTTATGATATTTGTGATATAACCTTGATTGATTGATGTGATGATTTTATGAGGGATCTTGATGTTAAAAAGAGATTCTTGATATTTATGTGATGATTCTTGATAAATCTTGATGGTTCTTGATAATGAAAATAAAATATGATTTTGATGATTTTGGTGGGTTTAGAGCCCTAGGTTGGATTGGGAATTGATAGTGTGATGTTCTTGATTTATATTTGGGTGAGAATTTTCATGTTTGGGTGTTGTTCATGTCTAGAAGTCATGTTAGGATGTGTTCAATATGATTCTTGCTTTCGATCCATTAAATGCCTATGTGGTGTCGTTAATTGCGTTTAAAAGTGTCTAAGCATGGTTTCGGGTTCCATGAAGGATCCCGGGACGCGTATTTGATAAAAGAGTTAGTGGGGGGTAGGTGGGGGTAGGGGGACCCGCCACCTACCCGCTACCCAAAAAGGACGTCGCCGGCACCGGGCAGGCGACTGCACGCCGGGCACCCGCTGCCCGGAGGCTTGTCGCCAGCGGGCAGCCGGCGGGTGGTCCTCCACCCACCGGCTACCCGCTGGAATTTGCCCAACTTGGGTCTTCGGCTTCCCCGTTTGATGTTCCCCCGACCCTCGTGGTGTCCCAACGGACTTCGTTTATCGTGCCTAAAGTCTAGTTTGATGTTTCGGGTACCATTCGTAGGATAAATGAGTCTTATGTATATCGCATGCTAGTTGAATTGATATCCCGTTGGCCTAGGTAAAAGAAGTATGAACCCCTTAGGATTACTCCTAGTATGTGGATGAGCACGCATAGGTTTCATTATACATTTTCTCCCCTTTCCCAATGTGTTAATATGGGTTGCATGTGCTTGCTATGTGTTATGTGTGCATGATACCCCAATTTAGTTGCCATCAAATTGGTTATTCCTGAGCTGCGGTTCAGAAGCTGGCTGCGGTCAGAATTACACTCTCGGGCTGCGGTCCACCGTTTGGTTGCGATCAAACGTTTTACATGAGCTGCGGTTCATATTCCTGGCTGCGGTCAGATGATCACTCTTGGGCTGCGGTCCACTGTTTGGTTGCGATCAAACATTATGATGAGCTGCGGTTCATCGGTCAGTTGCGATCGACCCCTTCGTGTTGCGATACGAGGCAGGGTGCTGCGTGGCCGTGTCAGAGCTATATGCGCTAACCCTCATGTATGGGCATGCGATTGGTCCTGTAGCGCCATCAAAGTGTGCTTGTGTGATGAGATGAATGATGATGTAAATGAGATAAAGTGAATTCGTGATCATTGGATACATGCTGGTATCTTTACATGCTTGGTTACAACTGTTGAATGTGCTTATCCCATAGGATATATGCTAGTATCTTTAAATGCTTAGTTATAACTGTTGACTGTGTTTATCCCTATTTGTCGAGTCTATTTTTGTTTTGAAACTAGAGTTTCCTAGGATATATCTTCCTGCTTCAAAATGACTTTTATTATATATATATATATATATATATATATATATATATATATATATATATATATATATATATATATATATATATATATATATATATATACTTATACGGTATTTCAACGCGTTAGTGTATGTTACCAGCATTATTCGCTGAACAGATATATTTGGCTTTCAGGCACAGACGATTAGCTCCGGAGCGCACTAGAGGACCCAAGACTTAGATAGATAGTTTCATCTTCGGCCTGCGTGCCATAATGATGTAATGATGTTGTTAGATAGTTTAGCCTATGCATCTGAGTTCTCTAGCTCAAATGTGGCATAACACCCCGTATTCTTATGTTTAGTACTGCTCTGTTTGGGATTTAATGAGAATTTACATTTATTAAATAAGTTTTAAAAGTTTCGAAAATCTGGGGTGTTACAAAAATAGTACCGGGTATATAGGTACAGAACGCGAGATTCATAGATTTTTATACTGTAGATTCATAAATTCTATAATGTAGATTTATAAAATCTTTGGTGAATAATTTTATATTTAAATATGAACGAAAATAGAACTATTAAATTAACTTTTGAATTGTATTATTTCTTTGTTAAATTTTTATGCACTATATTTAGACCAAAAAATTTAATTACATTTTTATTTTGTTCTGATCTAGATCTTCTAAACATCTATTTTCATCTCGTAAGAAAAACAATGAAGGTCCAAATTATAGGTAAAATATACAGTGTAACACTTTAATAAATAAGAGTTGGTGTGGCTTGGTGGGTTTAGCTTTATTTGTTATGTTAGAAGTCACGGGTTCTATCTTTAACCTATATTTTATACAATCATTGTCTTGGTTCTCAGAGACAACACATAACCAAACTCGTTATATCTTAGATGTTGCACTTAAATACATAAGTGTTGGTGTGACTTGGTTGGTTTAGCTTAGTTTGTTATGTTAAATTATTTTAAAAC